GATCATCGCAGCTGGGAGCCCGCCAACTACGTTAACGCTCCCGACAAGATAGCCGACTTCCACCGCCGGTACCCCGACAAGCCTGGACTTATTGTTCGTAGGAGTGGCCGTAGTTTGGGGAGGGGATGATGTGATGATCATGCACGTTGGGAACACGTGTGGACTGCTGCGCGTGATGCACCGTGAGTCATGTTTGTTTGTCTTGGCGTGTATTCCCTGATTGGCTGGCGCCGATGACTCTTACTTCGCCTCCGACTGCGCTGTGCTTCGCCCCTCTCGCTGGATGCTCCGCCTCCCTCGCACCCCCTTCTCGTCCCTCGTTTGTCGCTCCACCCTTCTCGCCCACTTTCGCCCTTCGGTTTCCCTCTTGGCTATAAAGCCCCTCCTTTCTTGCACCCATTTTGTATCTTCAGTTCGAACAACACTTGTTGTTATCTGATAAGTCGTAATATAGCTTATCGTTGTTCGCCAAGCACCTGGTCGTCCAGTGTCGTTGCTTGTCGTGGTCCTCACACCTTTGGAGGACCACACTCCGAATGCATCTTCCAAATTATCATTTGGGGTTGAGGATCACCAATATATAACGTGTGGTCAGGAAGATAAATGATGAATATCATCATTCTCCTTAGTGTATGTCACAAACAGGCCGTGCTACGCTGGTATGGAAAGTCCTATCACGTCAAGTTCGTTTTTCCCGAATTTCAAGGAGATTCATTGACGAATTCGCTAATAAATTCTGTGCTATTTAGAACTGACATGGTGAACATGGCGTAGGAATGACAATGGTGTGAAAATAGAATGGATTCAGCGTTCTGAAGATCAATAATCTTATACAGAAGTAATGAGTGGAAATATCACTTATTTAGCTTTCTCTTTCCGTTCCCATAATCGTCTACTTATACCTCCATCCTCAATATAGTATAGAATCGACCTCCGTCGGGATATAAACCACGCCATGATGAATGAAATATGAATGAATTCACTCATTTTTCTCACGGGGTAATAAGATTTGTGTCATGGCCAATATAAGCTTCTCTCGGATGTCAGGGCCTCGTCTTTCAATCAAGGTTAGAGTCCAAATTATTTGATGAATCATCAGAGCTTATCCTGGCAACGCGATCAGTTTACCATTCAAATCAAAGATATTTACCCACACAAATAAATGAATAACAAATTTCCACCCGTACTATATTAAGGGCATGAACATTGGGTATTCATAAGTCATGTCAGTTGAATGATTCCAAACAGCTTGCAGGATCACAACAATTGATTAGTGTTATGGACGCATACCATGATTGGGGGTGTGGCTCGGTAGTAGGTCATGGCCCCATGGACATCGTGGTTGATGGTGATCGAGATCAACTTGCATCATTCGTTAGATTAGTTCATTCGTTTCCTTTATTGATCACAGCGTGGCTTATCCTGTGGCTGAGCTCGATGACATGATAGATTAGATGGTCCTAGTAAAAATTGGGGAGCTCAGGGGCCAGAGGGAAAGCACATCCAGGGAATTATCATATCACTCCTCTGAGTTATAGAACATCACCCTCACGTACCTTGACATTTGCTCCCCAACCCTTCTCCTGCCTTCGTCCCGATTCCCACGCCCTGTCCGTGTCGTCAAGAGCCCGCCCGGTCTACTGACGCTTGATTCCCACGACCTGTTCCTGACAAATGGGAAACATTTGACCTGTATGGAAAGTCGGCAATTATCAGCTACCAAGGACCGATTTCGGATATTGACTGGATAGGTCAGGACAATATGGATATTTCTGGAAGATCCATTTCCTGACAAAGTCAGTCGAAGTTCACAGGTTTTCGACAACTCATCAACCTCTACTGCATTATATTTGAGTCTCATTTAGGGTTGACAAGCAGTTGATATGACGACCCAACCCGTTCACCCAATATCAAAGGAAGCCGAGTTCATCATTCCCGCCGCACTCGATTGACAATATCATCATTCTCCCCTCCTTCGAGTCAGAAAGTGAAAAAATCTATGGTGGTCAAACGACAGCAGATCTTTGGTCAACGGTCGTTTGCGAATTTGATACCATAAGGCTGGAAGTGCACCCGTTCTCTTGGATTTTATCAAGACTGGACAACGGGGCAAGCAGGGAAGTGCGCAAGAGTCCTAATGCAAGACTCGAACGTAGGGAGAGGAGCGGGGACTGGACTGGGACACAGAGTGTCAAGTGTGAAGCCAAAGTTTTATTCTAGATCCAAGGCTTAGGATACTAAAAATACAAAGTGGCAAGACGAAGGCAAAAGACAGAGGCTGGTCGGAGGGCTATTTATGCGAGCGCCAAGGATCGACGCTGCAGAGCGAGGGGGCAGGAGCGAAGCAGCGGCGGGGAGGGCGAAGCAGCGAGCGAAGCAGGTGGCGGCCGTGACTCGGGATCCGTGAGTCAGCGGGCGTCAGTGGCGGCGGCATGGCGGCGCCAAGGCGTCAGGCGGCGTCGAGGCGGCGTCGTGGGCGTAACCCATGACCAACAGCAAGGAAGCGGGAACGGAACACAGACAGCGCGCGTGCTGGCGGTAAGACAACAAGGCAGCACAGCGCGGGAAACAAACAAACAGAAGGAAGGGAAAGCACTAAGACAGGCAAACAGAAAGGAAAGGGCAAGGGTAAAGGAAGGAAGAGGGCAAAGGCAGAGGGTGTTCGTGACAGTTGACTCCATTCGGCTGAACTCAACTTCAGTGATTCAATCGTGACAGACCACCAGTCACTGCGTTACCTCGACACCAAGAAGAACCTGAGCCGACGCCAAGCGCGATGGATGGAGTTCCTCGCCGAGTACAACTACGAGGTTATGTACCAGAAAGGCAAACTCAATGTGGTGCCTGACGCACTGTCCCGACGCCCCGACTACCAATTGGCGTCACTGTACGAGTCGACTGTCAGTGTCGACAACACGATGCTGGATGTTGTCCGAGACAACATCACCAACGACAAACAGTTCGGAGAACTGTTCCGAAAGGTGTCTAAGCTCCCCAAGGATGACGAATCGTCCGAGTACACAGTGCGTGATGGTCTACTCCTCCTGATGAAGGACGGCCGTGTCTGTGTGCCGGACATTCCGTCGTTGAAGACCAATTTGCTCCAAGAGGTCCACGACTCGCCCCTCGCTGGACACTTTGGAGTCGAGAAGACATACGACCGACTGGCCAAGGTCACATACTGGCCTGGAATGAAGCGCACCGTCGAGAAGTACATCGAGTCCTGCCATACCTGCAAGATGGTCAAGTCACGCACGACCCGAGAGCAAGGATTGCTGCAACCCCTGCCTGTTCCCGACCGCCCCTGGACCAGCATGTCCATGGATCTCGTCACGCATCTACCGACGACCAAGTTGGACCACGATGCAATCGCTGTCGTTGTCGACAGGTTCAGCAAGATGGCACACTTTGTGCCGTGCCAGACGACATGCTCCGCGCCTGACCTTACACTGCTGTTCTTCAAGCATGTGTTCAAGCACCACGGCCTCCCAAAGTCCATCGTCAGTGATCGAGACCCCCGATTCACCTCCTTGTTTTGGACAAGTCTGTTCGACCATCTCGGCACCAAGCTGAACATGTCAACCTCGCACCACCAACAAACGGATGGACAGTCCGAGCGGACGATCCGCACCCTCGAGCAATACCTGAGGACATACGCCTCGACCAGCCAAGACGACTGGGACATACAGCTGAGTCATGCAGAGTTTGCATACAACACCGCCAAGTCGAGCACAACTGGCTTGAGCCCCTTTGAGGCGCTCTACGGATTCCAGCCTGATGTTCCCACCTCCTTGACACTGACCGAGTCCACAGCTGGATTGCCTCCCAAACCAAGTGCCTTTGTCAAAGATCATCAAGTCCGACACAAGATGATCGCCGATGCGCTCACGGATGCACAACAAGTGATGGCCCGATACTACGACCGTCGACACCAGGATGTCTCCTTTGAAGTCGGAGACCTTGTCTTCCTGGATGCCGACAACATCAAGATCCCCGATGCCCAGTCGAAGAAGTTGTTGCCCAAGTACCGAGGACCGTTCAAGATAGCGGCCCGACCCAGTCCCCTCAACTACCTGTTGGACTTGCCACCTGGAAGCAAGCTCCATCCTGTCTTCCATGTGTCCAAGCTGCGTCGCCACACGACCCGCAGTCCAGCACAATTCCCCGACGCCGACGAAGGTGTCCCGGACGACGCACCACTGGAAGACGATCTCGGACAATACTACACTCAAGAATATGAAGTGGAGAAGATCGTGAGGCACAAGAAAGTGGCTGATGGATCACTGCGGTTTTATGTCAAGTGGGTTGGCTACCCACACTTGGGCAATACATGGCAAACACTTCAGGATTTATTACATGTTCCCGTGGCGATTGTATTCTCGATAGCGTGGCACGCTCTGCGATTCCATGAACTCTGGATTCCCACTGCACTGTATTGCTGTGGTTTGTCCCGTCCACACGTTTATTCGAAAGTTCGACACATTATCGGGAAGTAAGGCAGGTACTTTCTGAACCTTCCTGTCTGCCAGAGTCTCCCTGCACTATCTTGAGCACTATCTTGACTTGCCCTATCCTGCCATGCTCTGTCTTTCTCTGGACCCATACCTCACTTGCCAACGGTGCGACGGTAGAGCGGACTTCCTCTCATCAGTAGCTCAGATTTACCTCGAATTGACTCCTTTGAGCTCTATTGCCCCTGTCCTTCCTGGGCCTACTTTTCCAGTTTGCGCTGGAATCTCACCAGCCACGAGCCTGACACTTGCTGGTCTGGAATTTGTCCACTCATATGTCCAATAATATGATGTGAGGCTTCATTTACATACGCGACGATGTTCCTGGCAGTCAATGGCCACCAAGGAGATCGACCAAATGTATTCCAGATTTTCCTCCCAAACCACCCAGAACCCTTGGCTTCCTCACCCATGATTGCAGCGGACGGAACGGAGCCTGTTTCATTATATCTTCCGGCCATGCGGTACTATGACATCCAGCTGCAGGGTTCAGTGCCGAGTCTTGAACCACTTCGCCAATCCCTCGTTGCCCTTTTGCTTGGCCTCGAGTCTTGCACGGGCTTCTTCTTGCAGGCGGCGGAATTCATCCTCCTGACGGCGACGCTCCTCCTCTTCCCTTGCCTTTTCCTCAAGAGCAGCCTTCGCCCTCAGTATCTCATTCTCTCGTTTTGCTTCGAACAAAAGTCGTTTCTCCTCCTGGGCTCTCTGATTCTCGATAAGCAATTTTCGCTCGGCTTCCTCTTTTTCAATCAGGACAGTCCTCCACTTGACAAAGGTCTCTGCTGTCCAGTATCGTATTTCCGGGAGAGATTGGAATAGAAGCAGCTTCTGGAGCGTCTCCAGCTCGCTCAAGGGCCCGGGATCCTCGTTCATGATGGCATAGTTGCTGATTGCAAATGGGACAGCCCCGGGCAGCTGATTGCGGGCAAGCACCAGGAGTTCCCACATTTCGAGGCCGAATCCAAACACGCGAATGCCGGCTCGACCGAGTTCCGACAAAATCTGTGTCTTGAGCTGGAAAAGTTCGTTCTTGCGCATGGCATCACACTTCATGATCACAGGAACGATCGTGACAACCGACGACAGACGTCGCATAAATTCAATGTCCACAGGCTTCAGGCGATGCAGGATGCCATAGAGACAGAGATCTACATGATTGGAGCCCCCAGTTCCGGATGTGATGAAGCTGATAATGCTCTTGCTGGACGGGTTCTGTCGAGAAAAGAACTGATCGGTGCGCTGAAACTCCTTGTCGTGATACTCGATTACGGGGTCGATTGTGGCCAGGGCGTTGATATAGGAGCCAAAGCCGGGTGTGTCGACGAAGCACACGTTTTGCCGCTCTTCATTTGGACGCTCCTCATCAGCCGATATGGTCGAGCCTCGAATCTCGCGAATCGCGAGCCTGGGGTCCATTTCAAGATACGATATTGTTGGTTCTCGGGAAGCAAACTGATTCATCTCGAGAAAGCTGTCGATCAAGCGCGTCTGCAGCAATTCGATGGATTGATTGGCCGGCCAGAATTGTTTGGTCAGTTTGGACGCTCACATGCACATGTGGACAGCCCTGATAGCACTAGTTGTCCAACCAACGCTCGTCACCAACCCAGACGCTTTCGTCAAGCCCTCAAGCCCCTGGATCAAAGATTAGCAGCTGCTTTCATCTGTTCGGGAGCTGTCCCACAGACGTGTATGCAGCGGCCGAGCTTTCGGTCGTCTTGGTCTCATTCTTTCATTTTACCCACCTTTCCGATTCCAGAATCACCGGTGACCGATATTTTGATTGTTCCAATATCATTCGGCGCCCGCTCTCTGAGACTCCTAAGCCTAATCGTTTCCTCAAGACGCTTGACGACAAAGTCCTTGCATTCCGAGTCAGACATCTGCGTAAACTTTGGGGGCATCACAACGGTGTTGGTGACAGGCTCGGTCGGGACGCTTCGGTCGGAGCTGCTGTCAGCCATGTTGGACAAGCTGCCAGGCAGACTCCTATTCGCCGTCATGTTCAGATTGTAGTTAGAGGTTCGGATGGCGCTTATAGGGTTGGTGAAATTGAAGGTCGAGCCGGTTCCCACTCCGACATGGGCTTGTATGGGTGTCTGGGGGACGGAGCTCCGACTGCTCTGCGATGAGATTCTCGGGAAAGGCAGGGGCGGATTGGCAGGGTTGTCGATCTGGGCGCCGGCCGGGACGATGACTGCGAAGCGAGGAAATCATGGGTCACTATGCGATCGTGGGTTCAAGGTTCACGGAGTAGCCTCGATGCCCTGGCATATTCGCATGGGCTTGCTCGATTGTCTGTCTCCCAGCAGCCTCCCCTGTCAAGCCCCTCCCTGCATTACTGCACTCACAGTTGCCGGAGACCAACCCAGAGCGGAAGTTGCTTTGGTTAATGGCATTGGCCCAACCTGAACAGAACAATTCCACCAAGAGGCAGTTAGTGCATCCGGCGCAGGCCACAGCATGCAGACGGGAGATCGGGATCGAGGAGCCAGGCCGCAGATCGATATTGGAAGGAGGGCGGCCCGCGGTGAGCGGCAGATACAACAGGGCCGGTTGCGATGCCTTGACGGAGGACAGAATCCTTGCGTTGGCTTATGATCGGAGGCTTGCAGTCACTCCTCTCGGCAGTGCGCCGCTCCCTGACGATGCCCCGAGACTTGCGACCGGCTGCGTACCATCGTCATAGAATTCGGTCAGAGCCAGAATGTCGCCTGCGTTGAAGGCCAGCTCGTCCGGGCTGTTTGGAATGAAGGATGCGATCGCCTGATACTTGTGGGACATTTCGGTGGCAAGATGAGGTTCTCGGGAAGGGTCCCGCAGGCAAGGGCGGCAGCTCGATGGGCGGCAGCTCGGCGGGTGACAGCGCTGGAGCCCGTGCAGGAGAAGGAGCCGCTTTTGCCTTGGGCGTCGAGGGGAGAGGGGAGAGGGGAGAGGGGAGAGGGGAGGGGCGAAACACGCATCGAGCGGTTGTGCGACCTCCGTTTCGGGCAGCCGCTGGCGTGGTTGGGCTTGCTTCCGCCGAGCCCGTGGGAAGCTGGTGAGCCAAACGAAAGGTGGCTAATCGATGCGATGGCGGGTCGGAACGGCCAAGTCGGTCTGAATGTCCAGAAAGCCGGAAAGCCAAAAAGCCGGACTGGTCCTGGTTGGCGTGCCTCACCGGAGCTGGGGCGCTGGTCGGGTGACCCCAACAGCGCGGGCGCCTGGGTATTGCGAATCAGCCGCGTCCAATCCGCGGCGCAACTCTGGCAACGGCCACCGTCTTCAGCTCCCAAGACATGAACAAACGGGACATGGCCTGCGTCGAGCATAGTCGTGTGCAATGAATCGATCACCCAGGCATCTGGGGACTGCGGCGTCGCAGCGCAGCGCAGCGATGGCTGTATTCAGGACCCAGACAGCCCTGGACCAGAACCGGGTGTGCCATTGCGTTTTGAAAACACTGTATTTTGGGCGGTTCTTTGCCCGTGACCTCGGGTTCGTGAGCTCGTCACGACTCTCTACTCTTCGTAGTAGGGCGGAGGATCAAGAGGCTCGCCCGCCAATATATCAGCAACCTCAACGTACCCTCGTCGGTCGGCCAAATCAAAGACCGTGGCCCCTTCCCTGTCCCGAACATCCAGATTGGCCCGCTCTCTCATCAGGGCGCGAACTACTCTAATGTTGTTGTTCGACACCGCATAGAACATCGGGGTCCAGCCGTCCCGGTCAAGTGCATCTTTGCCGCCGCCGCCGTGGAGCAGCAGCGGGATGATGTCCGGGTGATCGTTGCGAGCCGCCAGGTGCAGCGGCGTTCGCCGCTGGGCATCGCACACATTGGGGTCCGCCCCGTGGGAGATCAGGATCTTGCTCATGCTGCTTGAGCCGGAAGCAGCAGCATAGTGCAAAGGCGACCAGCCGTCCTTGTCCTGGGCATTGACATTCGACCCTGCCTGGAGCAGGAGGCTGAATGCTTCGCTGTACTCCTTCTTTGTGGCGTGATGAAAGGCCGTCTTGCGCTCGTCGTCGACAGCACTTGTCAATGCGACGGTACAGCCCGTGAGGTTGCCTTCGCGCAGTAGGCGCTTGACGACATCGCTTCGGTTGCTCATCACAGCAAGGTGCAGGGCCGTGCAGCCATCGTCGCGAGCACAGAGTAGATTCGCACCGGCGAGCAAGAGCATCTCGACAATCTCAACCTCTCCGTCTCCGGCAGCCACATGTAAGGCACACGACCCGCTCTGATTGATGGCGTTGACATCGCAGCCAGCATCGATCAATAGCTTGCTGATGGCTATACGCTGTTTCTGCACAGCAATGTAGAGAGGGGTGTGCCGGCCGTTGTCTCCTGCATTCAAACTTGCTCCGGACTTGATCAGGAATCTGACGAGGCCCCAGTGCCCGTTGAGGGTGGCGAGATGCAAAGGCGCATACCCGTCATCCTTCTGTGCATTGTACTGTGCTCCGTTGGCAATCAGCAGCCTGCTGATATCCAGGCGTCCTCCTTTGCAGGCCTGTATGTGAGCACAGTATCCAGTTTTGAAAGAATTGGCAGTTCATTAGCATAGGTTGCCGGCATTCGGCGGCCGCAAAATAGTGTCAAATATCAAGCGGCAAAATCAATTGGCGGGCATGTCAGAACGTGGCAGTGTGTGGCAGTATGTGGCAGTAAGGTCTGAGTCCAAACAACATGACAGCCATCACGCTGTGCGCACAGACGCTTGAATTCGATAACGTGATCCGCAAACCCACCTGATGGAGAGCCGTCCAGCCCCCTTTTGTTCTGGCGTTGACGTTGGATCCGGCCGAGAGCAAGGCTTGGACGGCAGCTGCATTGTCGCGCATGACCGCAAAGTGCAGGGTGATGTAATCGTCTTCTTCTTTGATATTTGGATCCGTTCCAGCGTCGAGTAACATCTTGACAGCATCAATGTGATCAGACTCCTTCAGCGACAAATGGAGCGCAGTCATCTGTGAGGATTTCTCCTGTCGGTTCAAAAACTCGGCTGGGTTTGGTCGGCTCTTGTTTGCCTCGATCAGCAACGACGCAATATCAAGGTTGGCACCCGAGATGGCGACATGGAGCGGTGTCCGGCCCTCGTTCTCGAGCTGATCGATATCAGCCCCGGCCTGCAAAAGCATCACCACAATATCAAGGTTGTCGTTGTGGGCAGCTAAATGCAAGGGAGTCCATCCATCGGATTTTTTGGCATCTGGGTTGGCCCCGGCTCGGAGGAGGAAGGCGACGACGTTGTTTCGCTCGCTTCGGGAGGCCAGATGGAGAGAGGTCCTGGACATATCGACAACAGCGTCAGCAAATGAGCACGCTCAATGTGAACGACCTCGCACACGCGATATGTGCATCGAGATGACCGCTGGGGAGGCGCTTGAGGCAGAGAAAGCATCGGGGTGCAGTGTCTGCTCAACGAGAAGCGATTTCCATCGAGCCACGAACAGACCATTCATCGTCGCCTTGGCATCACAGTTTTGGACATCCCAGCGTTCGTCAAAGAGAGATTTTGATCTGGTTTAGCGAATCGCGATACCGAGATAGACTTGGCCGCTCCCTCACCCAATTCCCATCGAGGACCAGGGCGAACGACCAATTGGCAGGTCCGTGCCCAAACAAAGCCAACCTCTCGAGAGGAGCCCTACCTGTGCAGTCCACGTCTACTTTTGCGTTGCTCACCAGGACCTTGACAACCTCGGTATGGCCGTTCTTTGCGGCGAGGTGAATCGGTGCCCACTTCTCCGTCGTTCGGTCGCGCTTGGAGGGGTCGGCTCCGAGCTTGAGGAGCACCCGCACAATGTCAGCATGTCCGTTTTCGCTTGCATGATGCAGTGCGGTCCGGCCGGTTTTGCTCAGTACGGAATTGACGTCGATCAGAGGGCCCTTTGCCCCGATTGACGACGGCGACAAGGAAAGGGAGGGAAACAGATCCGGACTGCCATTCGGACTACACTTTGGACTGGGGGGCCTCGGCTCGAACACGCTTGATTCCAGAGCATCGCCGACATTGCCGGTATCGCCAGCATCGCCGACATTGCCAGCATTGCCAGTATCGCCGGTATCGCCGGTGTCGCCGGTGTCGCCAACGGAGCCTGCATGGTCGCCAGAGCACCCAGCGGGAATCGCTGTGTTTCTTGGCGGGTCCAAAGGAAGAGCGAAGTTGCTGGGAACGTCGATTGGCGTAAAGGGCAGCGAGCGGACATTGAGCAAGGAACACACTTGCTCAATGTGGCCATTCTTGACAGCTTGCTTGAGCGAAATGAGCTCCGCCGTGATCTCGTTGTCGAGCTCGTCGTCGCTTCCCTGTGCTGGGTTGTTGTCGGCACTCGACGTAGCTTGCGCAAAGAGCTGACTGAGGTCCAGAGGCATCGCTTACAAAGGAGATCCGCCAGTGGTATGGAGAGAGACAGTAGTGCGATCGGACGAGAGCCAGAGCCAGGGCCAGAGCCAGAGCCAGAGCCAGAGCCAGAGCCGGGACAAGGGGGAGAGGGGCGGATGGAGGCTTCGGATACGACTGACAGAGTGGCGACCGAACGGGCAGCCACGAATTTGCGGATGCTAACAAATGGTCGGCCGTGCCTTGCAAATAAGTCTCGGAGGGTGGGTCGAAATCGTGACGGTGCGTGCAGATGAGGGCAAGACGGAGATGGACGGAGAGGCTCGATGAAGCCAACGAGGCTCCTGGTCCGAAGCAGCCATGTCTCGAAATGGACACCGCCTCGGCGTTGTGCGATCGAGACGCGCAGGCCGTGGTGTTCCTGTGCAGGAAATGCTGGGCAGAGAACGAGCGACGACCACAGGCAGGGCTGACGAAGGGACGAGAAGCATGCTCAGCGACCCGGGAACGAGTGCTATGGAATATGGGTGATCGATGCAATGGGTAGCGGGAGAAAGCCACTCCCGGTGGGAACAGACGACCGGCCACCGGAGCAGCGTCTCTATCGAGAATGTTCAGGCCAAACAAAGACGAACAGTTACCATTTTCCGACCGATCGACAGCCGTTGACAACCGGCCATGCGGTATATTTGATGTTGGATTCACTACTACTCAGGTATTGATGTTTGGCCACTGTGTAGTCGGTCCAAGTGTCGATTGTCGATTCCGGCGCTGGTTGAGGCGATGGATGCAACGCTCACATGACCTCGAATGCCATTTGCGACGACCGAGCTTTGGAGCGCTGGTTTGCATTCTCCGCTGCCATCGATCTGCACCGCCAAGATGTTTTCGCTGCTGGACTACATGGTGCGGTCTTGCCTCTGGTGCATGTGGTGCATCTGGGCTGCGCGAGGGCTGCGACAGCCTCTCATGTCGGCTTTCTCCTGCACAAGTCTGCCGGTGTGGTCCCTGCCTGATCGACTGACTTTCCACCCACCCCTTGCGGAAGGACTATGAGGGCCAAAAGAAGGTCGAAACCATCTCGGTAGCGATGCTGGCGTCCACGGCGGTAAGACACGCAATCGCATGATCTCTTCGGGAGATGGATCTGCTTCCAATGGCCCTGTCGTAGGCAAGCGACCACATGGATACATAGTAATTGCCTTTCTCGCTTGCGATGCACAAGGTCGTTGGGTTGGTCGTTGGGTTTCTGCGACAGTCCGTTTTGGGGCTCTCCATCATCAACGCCGTTGGGCTTTTGCTGACTTTTCTGGTGAGTCTAAGCGACTTATCGTGACCCGGTGCCCTCCGCATAATCGAGCCAAACCATCACTGCTGAGGCATCCCTTGTCTAATGCGGCAGCGATCGCCTATGCCCACTCCAGAGAACTGACAACAGCCATTCCCGATTTGCCCGGCGGGTGCATTGGTATCTCTGTTTCAGGTGACGCTTCCCTCTTGGCCCACTTTTCGAAGCCATCCGGTCAAATGGCTTCCACGGATCGAGTCCAAGGCGGAATCCACCGCTCCAGCACCAACAACCGACTGGCTGTCGCGGATTACCAAGATTCTGTTCTGATTTTCTATACTCAGAGCCATGGCGAGCTTGGCCGGCCACTGCCAGGAAGAATATCTCCCGCCAACGCCACGAACAATAAACCTGAGCAAGAATCGCATTCGGTCAATATCTGAAATGCGCTGACCACGTTTGGGTGCATACAACAGAGATGGACGGATTTACATCCTGTTCAGAACGAAACGGGACAGTGCCATCTATATTCTTTTGCATCAAGAACCGCCTGCTGTTGGTTTGAGGTGCACAGGCTTGAGATGGAATGCATTCGACCATCAAGTCGGGTTGAACGAGTCGCTTGGTCTTGGGCGTCTCTGGTGATGGTGGGGATGTTCAAAGTACTTGGTGAACCTGGGTCTCCGTGGACTTGATGAGTATCCCTTCTCTTCCCTTCCCTCCACAAGAGATATTCAAAGGATAACCACAGTTCCAGTCTGGTTGGACACGCTGCTCGGCCGTGGTGAATGTGTGTATTCAGGCGCGGGAATCAACAACAACCCTGGCTCAGACCAGGGCGGCCCTTTTCGAACAGAGTAAGCTCTAAGCTTGGCAGCTCAAGTCGACCGGCTCAGCTCGGCTCGGTCCGCCCCACAAACGGCTCCTCAGCTACAGGGCTGCGGCTGTTGTGGCTCTCAATCACAGAGTCCTCGAGTATTGCTATCGGATAAGTGTAGGGATCGCCCTTCATGCGTTGAGGCAGCAACCAGAGCCAGATGTTGTCACCGAGAATGGCCTTGATGTTTTCAAAGTAGCCGATGTGAAACGGGTGCCGCAGCTTGGAAACCTTGCCGCTCTTGGCGAAACTGAACTCGTCCTTCTCCAGACACTCGATTGTAGTTTGGTTGGTTACCAGATAATGGAGCTGTTGCCAATAAAAAAAGTGTCAGCAACGAATCGTCGCGGCCAAGGGAAGGACACTCCGGACCGCTCATCGATACAGCCTCCATAGGAGCAAACCTGAGTCGAGGTCAGCATCACGACGATGGATGTGAGAGGAATCAGAACCAGCAGGTTGATTCCCGCAATCAAAAGTCTTAGGCCCTCGTCGGGTGGATCTTTAGAGCCCTGTATCGACACCCCGAGGGAGGAGCAGAGAACAGATCGAATCAGCGTTGGTGATAAAGTCATAGATCGGTATCATGGGAACATTCCGGCGGTATTCAGAGGTATTGCGTCTTATGAGCCAAGGAAGCCGCTATATGATCTTCGGACGACATGTGGCCTCGGCCTACCTTGGCAAGATGCTGAAAGACACTTGCAAAGAAGCCCCACATGTACTGAACCACAAATGCCAGACACATCGTGCAGCTGAGCGACGCATAGACCAGAAACCGCACGAAATGACCTTGATTATAGAAGCCCACGCAGTTTTCTGTGACGACGATAGGTTAACGTGTGCTTCTGGGATGAGGGTCGGTGATTTTGCGGTGGTTCGCAGCTCCCAAAGCCCTACCAATCCATGGGCAGTGATGATCCATCCGCAGGATGCAGCTCCGGCACTGGCGGCAATGATGGGCTCGTGGGGGTTTGAAGACCGAGCAGGTTTTGCAGAAACGCGGGCGACTATCTGAATCCGATTTGATCTCGACGTAATGTTCGCTGCGAGCAATAAACGGTCAAAAGTCATAGGGTATCGGGCAGCCGTTTGCTGGTCGACAGGCAACGAAATCGGGAAATTGCGCATTGGATGCCGACTGATCCGATGCCGCTAGCACCGCGAGCCTACCATGTCGGGTCGATCGTACCGAAGCCCTCAAGGCCTGCTGGCTCCCAGCTCTTTGGGGAGCAAGGGCACGAGCATTGTTGGCGAAAACGAACAGTCAGCATGATGTGCCGTGTGGGATTCGCCAAGGCAGCGAGCAAGAGCCAGCGGATTTGACAGCCTCGGCACCGAAGCAGACCTGGCTGAAGCGACCCCTTATCTACAGGGGCGCAACGATGACATCGACTCTGGCCAGTGGCATGAAAACGACCCTACCCGATCGACGGATCCCGGATGCGTGAAGACACAGAGGACATAGTTGCATAGCACCATTGCGACACATAGATTGAATCCAACCAGGGCGACGAATCGAGTCCAGCCGGTCGAGCGGAACCAATCCCCCAGGACGAAGCGCTGGGTGGACACCGAGAGGAGAACGATGCCAACAAGCACGCAGAGAACCCACGGCGACAGCAGCTTCCCGAGCGCAGCCGAGGCCGCAGGTCTCAGAGCGAGCCTCGTCGAGCCAAAGGAGACGATGCGCGGCAGCCGGATCATGGGGCTTGGCCGGATCATGGAGCCTGGCCGGAATGACAGAGACCAAGGACAGGTCGCTGGTGGTGGCGGGAAGACGACGCCGTCGTGCGCAGTCGACGGCACACAGCGACACAGCGACACAGAGAACATGGCCGGCAAAGGGGCACCGAGCACACAGCGACACGCGCCTCGCGTGCAGCGCGTGTCTGTGGAACGCTCTTTCCAAAACAGGTCGTTCTCTCGCCCGGCTCTCGCTCGGCTCTCGCCCGCCCTTCTCGGTGGATGCACAGCGGCCCGAGGCCGTCTCGCTCTCGCTCTCGCCGCCGCCGCTTCCTTCTGGTAGATCGCCTTTGGTCCTCGTTCCTGGAATCGCTCGGCTCCTTCGTTCATCTCCTTCGTACATCCCCCGTCCCGCTCAGGCATTCCGCCCTCCCCTCGCCCGGCCTCAACGGCCTCCCACCCTTCCGCCGCCTCTGACCGTCGCTGGCCATCGGAACGACGCCGGCGAGTCGCTACCCTCCCTCCTCCGAATCTGCCAGCCGTCTGCCTCTGCTTGTCTGCTCAACAAAGCCCTCCGCAACCGGCCCGTCGGTGTCTGCTGCCCCAATAGACCGGTCAATCTCTTGTTGGCTCTTCTTTGGCCTGAAATCTTGCCAGAGCCTCCAAGCGTCAGTTTTCGACCTGATCCTGTGCTGGATCATCTCCCTTGGCCCTGGCACCGGCTTCACCAGTCCCCAAATCCCATCCGCCTCTCCCCCCCCCTCGCCAGCCACACATCCGTCCTCGAACGAGCCGTCTCACTCCGCCATGCAATCGACGCTCCAGAACAACCAGCTGTACTACTCACAGCAACAACAACACTACCACTCGGCCCACTATGACTATGGATATGACGATGATGAGCACGATGAGCAGGATGAGTACTACGACGACGAGCGCCAGTTTTACTCCGAGGAAGAAGAGGACGAAGAAATCGACTTTAGTCTCGTCTACGCCCTCTATACCTTCGTCGCCAACCTCGAGGGCCAGGTTTGTGTCCTCAAAGGCGACTCACTGGATCTGCTCGACGACTCCAACTCTTATTGGTGGCTGGTAAAATGCATCAAGACCGATGAAATCGGCTACATCCCCGCCGAGAACGTCGAGACCCCTTACGAGCGCCTGGCTCGCATCAACAAGATCAAAAACGTCCGGCTCGCCTCGGTCCAGGCCCAAGATCTGTTGCCTGCGGCTCCAGACGGATCCAAGCCCAAGCGCAACATCTTCTTTTCGGAGCAACTGGTCGACTACTTCCAGGAAAGCGACGACGAATACTACGAAGAAGAAGACGAAGCGGAGGGCATGGGCTTCTCCGAAAACACGTTTCAACCGGGCATGCACGCCGGTGGATCCGACACCACATCCACAGCCAGCTCAGGGGGCATCCTGGGAGGAGGCATGTTTGGAAGCAAAGATCCCCAGCACTCGCCCTCGGCAAAGCACACCCCGGCTCCGAGCCAGAAAGCCGCCAAATCTAGTGGCTGGAGCGGACGCGGTCTATTGCAGGTGTGTGGACCGGTGCAGCCTTTGTTTCGAGGAGCTATGGTGACGTTTACGTGCGCGCCGGCAGCACAGTTCGCTCAGGTCCTAGCCGACCGCACCTCCTCGACCGTGGCACCGATGATGGAAGCGCGGCTATGTGCCGTCGACGACCAGCGTTTGAAACAACCCAACGGACATATCATGCTTTTTCTGTACTCATCCTGTCTCTCAATCTCTAATCTCCCTTGATGTGCGACGCCACGCCATGCTCTCACGCAATCTGCTATGCAATTCGTCCTTATCATGGTGCTCGACCCGGACTTTGTTGTGGATAGCGAATACTCGGTAAAAACAAAAAGGACAAGCTCTCGAACGAGTCCCTGGCTGTGTCCGACGACCGGCCAATGTCCGGCATTGTCTCCCGAACCGAACATGCTCTGCAGAACCAGGAGGTTCTCGCGGCCCAAAACAATGCCACTCATCAGGAAGAGGTCAGCCACGTTCTCTCCACGCACATGCCCATACTGGCCCCGTTCCCAGGGACTCGTTGGCAAACCATCCACTCCGGCTGAGCGAATGCGGCTAGCTCTCTCATTCTCTTATTCTCTTATTCATTGCCGCTGCGCTGTCTGTGCTTACAAATCGGTATCGCTCTCGTCTTGGACTGCTAGGTGCCGGCGACTGAGCCCATCACTGTCCTTCGTATATATGCCGGCAATGTGGATCTCAAAGCCACGTTCAAATCCGTGGCTCTGACCAAGGACTCTATGAGCGTAAAGCAGGCTCTCGAGGCATCCCTGAGGCGATTCCGTGTTCCAAATACGGGCGACTACTACCTGGCTGTGCTGCACATGGATTCACGTGAGTATCGATTCGGTGTGCCCTCGTGCGGCCAGGTACCTTCTGTGCGCTTGGCTTAGCAACGATTTAGTGCGCGGGTAGAAAGTTATCGAAGAGCAGGTAGCGAAAGAGCAGCATTGGGTTGTTGGTTTTTTGTTTGAATGTCCCTTTGCCTTGCTTGGAACCGGACCTGCCTTGTTTCGGAGTCGATTTCTTCGTGACCGGCTGATTTGCGTTTGGATGCCTTCCACAGAGGAGAAGGCTCTTCAGGACGACGAAGACATCCACAAGATCCTCGATAACCTGCGAAACAGACATCTTCCTGGCATCGGCGATAGCAGCCGCGTCGCACACGCCGTTGGCACGCACGGTCGTGTGTCGTCGGTACGCATGAACGACGACAATATCATCAAGTTCATCATCAACAAAAAGCTCAATATCCTGCACAACAACAACCATCTTGTCCGCATTTATATGTACGACTCCTCCGACCCACATGGCAAAATGCGCTCGTACAAGACCATCCCGATTACCAATGATATGCTGGTGATGGAGGTCATTGAGGTTGCCAAGAAAAAGTTCAAGGTCGGAGCCAACCAACAGGTCAACTATCATCTTATAGCCCGAGTCGAAACCGAAGGTGCGAACTCGGGTGGACTGGCAGAGTGACCCTCGATGATGCTGTCAACGTTGACGCGCGACCGACTTGCATGCTGAGGCATCCCGGGCCGCCTTCCTTGGTTGGGAAGGCGGGTCCTGCGGAGAGCTCCCCCCTCCTCCCTGGACGGCATGCCATTTCAAACAGAGCGGCGTTCGCGATGTTGATACTGATTCTCACTCGGTTTCTGTCATTGCTGCACCTGTCAGAGCTACGCTTGGTTCCGCAAGAGCCCATGCAACCTCTCTTCGAGGCCGCTGGCAAGATTGAATTTGTGCTGTGGCCAGAGTGGACAGGCTCGGGCAGTGCTCCGGAGAAGAACGAGACCCGCAAGATCAGCGATACAGACGAGATTGCAAACCTGATTGCCTCCAAGCCCAGCTTCCTACAGGAGGTGCCCAACAGCTCTTCGGCAGCCTACATTGCACCGATGCCCTCGGAGACCGTCAGTATGTCGAGAACAGGATCGGGCTCGTCACCGGGCTCGAGCCCCGCCATCGCCGCCGTCGGTCCAACTGCATCAACTATTCCCGCCCCTGCTGTAGCGAGTCGACAGAGCTCCCTTGCCCCCAGCGAGCCCGCCGAACCATCACCTTTGACCCTCCCCCCGAATGGAGTCGACCCCTCTGCCTATGCTCAAAACGATGCAGCCGACGCCGCTGGTGGCCCACTATCGCCGCGACGCAGCCACCTTCCCCCGGATGGAGCAAGCGTGCGTGTGGTGCAGCCACAGCATGCCATCGTCAAGCCCGTCCATGTAGTACCACAGCCCACGCGGGTCGGCGTTGTTCAGCCCCAGCTCACTCTGCAACCGGCTTCGCCTGGCGCTTCAAGCTTGAGCCCGCCGTACTCGTCCGAGCCCATTGCCATCGATCACACCGGATACGTGTTCCCTCCACCGCAAAGCAGAGCCGGCGGTCAAGACTCCCAGCTCGACTCGATGGAGCGGAAGCCGCATCGTCCGCCAAGCTTTGCATCGCTCAAAGAGATGTACAACGGTATTGAGGCGGATATTGATCAGACTCTGGCCCAGAACCAGCTCGAGCGCGAGAATGAAAAGAGGAAGAGTCTCAAGGCAGCCGTGACTGCGGGCATGGAGCTGGGCTTGTCGACCTTTGTCCACCATGCCGTCCAGAACGGATCGCCATCGGACAAGTCGTCGGATCCGTCATCCTCCACCCCAACGGATCTGTCGGAGCCGGAGAAACTGTCTTCCGCCGTCCAAGGCCGGAGATACAGCATTTCTGCGCGTCGCCCCAGCCTGCGTCTCGACGGCACCGTGCCCCTGCCGATGTCCGAGGCTGGCGAGTGGTTCCGGGACACCGACCTGATGCTCAACACCATGATTAGGGTAGGTCCACGGGCATGCTTGCGCGGCCCTCTTGATTCGTGTTCCGTCGCCACCTCCGTGGCATCCTCAGGCGCTGTGCGGTATGACTGCCCGATTAACCATGCCCTCATGCCCCCCCCCGCGTTGCCCTTCTGCACCTTTAGGATCTTGACAACTTCTGCGCCTCGTCGCTGGCGTTGTTCAGTGACTAAGCATCCTGACCAAACTCTTGCGTCCCCAGGGGACGGATGCGGATATCTGCCATCGCCTTGCCTTTGAGCATATTCACGGAGTGACCCTGTTTTCTCGCTTCTATTTGCCTCCATTTCGTACTCTCGTACTGAGCTCCGCCCTGTCAGCCCCTCGTCTCTTTGCTTTGTGGCAATCTGTGGTTTTTGTACTACGCGGTTACCCTTTCTTCCTCTTTCTTGCTTGGGCCAATGTATCTCTCAATAATGGATCCTGCTGCTTCGTTGCTGTTGCGCGCCGCCCGTGGTGCTTTGCGAGCGAGGAGAGCACTGTGGTGCTTTCGGGCTCAGAGAGGGAAGATACACAGCGGGCCAGAGCCCGTCGTCAGCCGCTCTGCATCATCGAGTTCCATCAGACATGGACGGGAGCGTGCAGTCATGGCCGAGGGAATCCGCTATGTCCAGGAACCCCGGGACACGCACCCATATGTCAATCGAACGTGTAGTCCGTGATGAGCCTGCACCCAACGAAGCCATATGCAACAGTGGCGGACGTCATGGTCATCACTGTTTATTGCACTGACTGAAATGGCCAGCTGCTCCGAGTTGCAAAGGCTGCAGTGGCGGGAGCGGTTCTCAACGGGTTGGACCAGAGCAAGCCAACGAACCAACAGGCTCACGATCCGAAACACCATTTCTTCCACCATGTTGCCAACTCATCTGGCGCCGGGGCATCCACTTGTGTTGTTCAAGTAGCTGGCAGCCCATCACGCCGTCTTGTAAGCCATCTTGATCGAGACCGAGCCTGAAGGTACGTGCGCCAGGGGGAGCGTCATCACCTCAGTCTCCTTTCCAATGTAGTACTCAAGCATGTCGAGCTGGACTTCCGCATGTCCTAAAAAGTCTGGTTGCGAAGAGGCGATACGCAAGGCAAGTCATACGGACGAGACGAGTGGGTAGGGCGAGAAGAACGAAAGAACGTGTTGGTCAGTGGAGTAATCGCACATGGTCAGTTCTCCTCGCTCGTCCGCTGACGTGAAGCACAACAGGGATTCACAGATGCCTGGCTCGCCCACCATCGCGAGAAAACTTGTTGTAGTTGTAGACGGTAATGCGCAGCGTGTCGTCAAAGCTTGTAAGTGAGAAGAGCTGAGTGCAGTTCCATTTGGGAGCCACAGCATCTTTACTGAGGTTGGTCTTGAGCTTCTGGTTGTTGAGCTGGACGTGGCAGTACACTCCAAAGGGCACGCCTATCGACACACATACACCGATAGAAAGGGCCACGGTTATCAAGACAGCAATTGCCTCGAGTTGTTTTCCCGCTCCTCACCGATATCAATATTGCTTGTGTCAAACCAAGTACCGGGTCTTCTACCACCTTCGGCTGGCGCCCACCGCCGTCGATTCACCCAAGCATCGAGCACAGGACTCACCCCCTTCAACGAGCAAACTCTTGCCCGAGATCACAATAACCTCAAGGGTCCCGATGGGCGCATTCGCAGGAGTGTTGACCGTCTGAGGGGTATTTTGACCCCTCTTGTCGGTATCCTTGATGATCTTGATCTGGGTCTCAATGGCGCTGACCCAGCCGCGCTTCTCCGAGGCGCTGGGTGCGCGAAGCGAGAGCACGTCCGCTCCTTGGATAATATCAAACAAGGTGTCGTCGCCTCCAGGAACCGATCGAACCGATATCTCATGCAGGAGATACGGCTGTTGGGAGCAAAGTCGCAAAATGTAAGCACAGATCGATTTCAGTGGGCTGGCATTGGATGAACCCGCCCTCCGCAAATCAGAGGTGGAAACAAGGCGCCATCGACAACGCGGCGAGACGTCTTAGAAGGCACCCCGCGCCTGCGTACCTTGCGGTAGAGCGAAAGAGGCTTGGAGTGGGCGCCTTTCTTGGAGTGCGGCTGAGCCAACAGGAATAGATCATTGAAGATGAACCCTCGGAGCTTGCGCCCGCTCTTGGCCTTCGCGAGGGGGCCTTCTTGTATAAACTGCCGTTTGCCCAGGCTGCGTGTCGAACTAAAAAGATCGATGCGATACTCGGGCTGAAGACATGCGGAGGAGCGGTCGTGAGATTGCGGTTAGGCTGCAGCTTCCGGCCAGGAAGATCAAATACAGATCTCGGTGCGTCTTGGCGAAATATGGATCGGTTGAGATGCAACATCAATCGCCCGGACGGCGCTACTTACAGGCGAGTCGTCAAAATCCAGGCTGGCGACAATCTTCTCGATGGCAACCCGGTTTTCGCGGTCTTTGGCGGCGATATTCACTCTTTCCGCAGCCGCCTCGGCCAACTCCAGCGCCTGCAGCACATTCTGGTGATCGGGGTGGGTCTTGGGCGTGTAATGCAGGATTTGACGCAGGAGGAGCGGATATCTGGTGATTCTCTGCATGGGCTTCAGAAGAAATGCGTGGAGATCCAAGCTCCGACAGGCTGGATTCTGCTGCGCGGTCTGGCGTCCAGATAGTTAGATATGAGCCCACGAGCAGAGGTCAATCGCAGGAATGACGGCTAGACACGGTCGATAGCCTCTAGCGCGAGCTCACCTTGACAAACTGAGTGAGTGGTTGGCTCTCCTGGCAGCGCTTTTGGAGCAACTTGGAGGCGCCCATCTGGTTACCACAGTAAACGGTGTATGCTTCCAACGAAGAGGCCTGCTCGATGGGTAATAGGGACAGGTAGCAAATAAGAACGCACAGCCCTTGACCATTCGCAGAGGGCATCTTTCGTCGGTACTGTTCGCCTGCCGATACGATAGGATACAATACGATAGGCTCCACAACACATACATGGCGGCTAAACGTATCGCCGATTGCTCCAATGTATCCGTTGCCCTCCTTGAGCAATGTTTCAAAGTCCGAAAGGATCATGGTATTGCTGATCAGCAAGTCCTCGATGTTGGAAAATATTGTTCGGAAGTCAGATTCAAGCAGCATTCCAGTCATCGGGCCGTAGAAGACCTGGATAAGCCCGAGTAATAGGACAAAGAAGAAGCCGCCAATGTTGAGCGGGTCCTCAGTTAACACGGTGCGGAGTAGGTTTGTACAGCCCCGAGCTGGTTCAGCAGGGACCATTTCGCATCAGCGCGGTCCACAGCGCTACCATTGGGGATGTATACGGATTCCTCAACATCAGCCGTTTCCAACATGACGCCGAGCTGCAAGGGGCGTGTCGCCCGCGCTGGTTCAGCACTACTGCGCGACTTACATCCACAATGATTTGCAGGTCGCGAACGTAGCTTTGCTCGGTCGCAATCAGCTCATGTATGGCGTCCTGTCGCTTCTTTTCTTCAGCCGACAGGCTCGACAGAATCGACGCATCCACCGCATTCGACCACGAGCTGGAGAGGCCCTGATGCTGGCTCGAGGACTTTGGTGCGATGCAGAGTGATGACGACGCAGTCAGTATATCATCCACACACAATGAGTATGTATTCTATGCCCAATTTAACCGAGCTCGCGTGCACCAGTGCGGCGCCATGGATCTCGGCTGTCTCTTGATTGATCGGGTCTGACCGGGTTCCCCCATTTACGCGTCCTTCTCCTGGCATGAAGTGGGACTCCTCAGCATCGTTCGCGCACACCACCGGAGAAGCATGTGCGTCGTCTTCAACTTACGTATTGCATCATACTCGGACTGCGGCTCAGAGAGGCTCCGAGTGCGTCAGGAGACAGATGCGAGTCTCCATAGAACGAGCCCGAGGTGATGTTGATGTCGCGAGCGTCGCTTGGGTTGGATGCAAAGCTCACACTGCGGCTCAGTTCGAGATTGCCGTACGATACCGACGAAGGCAATCCATGCTGCGGGAAACCTTCGGTCGCCCCGGCACTCCCGAAGGGATTGGCCGACCCGAACCCACTCGAGGGACTATCCTCAAATTGGTCGCGACCAAAACTTCCTTGAGAGTCGGCGTTGTCCGGTCCGGGGGCTCCAAGGCCGAGTTGGCGATTGTCATCCGCACCGAGCTCTTGGACGTATGCCGCCGGTACAAGTCCGCTGTCTCCGGAAGCTTTCTGAATCTTCCACCAGTCGGCATCGACTTTCTGCAGCACCCCGACAATCTCTCCAACGGCCAGGGCAACTTCGTCGTCCCGAGAGGGGTGGAACTCGTAGAGTGCCTCTGCGTGGCAGATAAACGATCTCTCCGATGTTTGGGCGGCTTCGACCGGACTCGCGCTATCGAATCTCTCGGCATAATTGCGCGGGATCCATCCTTGATTGCCATTGGAGTCGCAGCCAAAGAGCCAATCGCCCTGTTCTCGTCGAACATCGATGATATCATCGGGTGCCATGGATAGGTCATCGGCACGAATGGCCTCAAACTTGAATAGACACTTGACCTGATAGAGCGTTGTCTCAGGTTCGATCACAACAACCGGGGAGCTTTGTGCGTCTGTGGACAGCAGGCAAGACAGTGCCCATAGAGATAAGTGAGTCGTCGGCCTCTGGAATTTGCCCGTATTCCAGTGCAACACCGAATCCGATGACCCAAGGACTGATAGGAATACATACCCTCCATTGGCACAGTTTCGTGCTTGTCAAGAATCTCCCAGCCGCCTGAGATATCGGTCTGAGCGGGGGCGTGCACAGGAGCCAGCGTATAGCTGGGCTTTGGCTCGTTGGTGTCTCCTGCAATATCACCTTGACCCACCAATGCGCGCTCGGCCGAAGTCGCTGAGAGACTCTGTGGTGGGTTCAGTGCGGACGCTGAGACTTGCTGCTCGGGGGCGGGGGCTGAAGGTTTGACTGATGATTCCAGAGGCGCGCTCGAGGTGGTAGGCAAAGCTGATCCGCCAAAGATACCGGACATATTGCTCTGCAAATCCTTGATCTTGCTGCTGACCTTTCCGACTGAGGCAGCGGCAGCGGCAGAGCCATCTCGAAGGCCAAAGAGTGAGGGACCAACTGCACCAACGGATGCAGGCGTCGGCTTTCTCTTGGGCTGCTCGCTTGCGCCAGCTGCAGAAACAGTCGCCTCCCGCTCGGCGCGCCAGTTCTTGACGGGTGCTCCTCCAGGAGGTGGGGGAGGCGGAGGTGGAGGCGGAACAGAGCCGTTGCTGGCACCAGGAGGAGGCGGACCGGATGGCACAGAGACCGGAGGTGGAGGCGGAGGGGCGAACTCATGAGTTGCAACCGAGGCGATCGCAGGAGGAGGGGGCGGTGGTGGGGGCGGCGGAGCAAATGCGGTGCTCGGAGAGACAGCGTGCGATGGCATCGAGACAGGGGCAAAGCCCCCAGCGGGAGCGGAGTTGTCGTCGTTAGAGACTTCTGTCTTTGAATTTTGAATCGCCCGGAGTGCGGCCTGGAAGCTACCCTTGTGGGAGGCATCGGCCACACGGTCGACAGACCCGCCAACCGCACGAGAGGCCTCAGAAGTAGCAGGGCGACTGCTGCCAAAGGGATTGTTTGCCTCGCTAGCGGGGCTCAGGGATGCAGATGCAGATGCAGTCTCCTTTGGAGCAGGCCCAAATGGATTGAAAGACGACGCCATTTGCTTGACCGAGCCAATGGAAGAGGCCATCGCAGGGAGAGGGGGGGCTGCGCGCGGAGGTGTGGAGGTAGCTCCATCGGATTGGGAGCCCGATTGCTGGGCCGACAGGCTGGTGGCAAACTGCTTGACCGAGAAGCTGCTCTTCTGGATTTCCGGCAGGGTCTCGCTAGTGTGGCTGCTGGGCGATGGCTCCCTGGCGTTTAGGAACGATGGCTTGGGCGGCGAGGGCGGGCGCTTAGCTGGTGACGTCGACCGCTCGCTCTTACGCTCCGTAGCCTTGCTCTCGGCGTCTCGCTGTCGAAATATTTCAAAGGGAGAGGGGCGCTCGAGTGAGGAAGTCGATGGCGCTTCACGGGGCTTCTCGCCAACAGGTTCATAGGCGAAGTCGCCAATGCGTGGCTCGTCAGCCCTGCTGATGGAGGTCGAGGTTGCGAATGCAGCAAAGGGATTGGTGCTCTGAGCGGGCGCCGACGCGGAGATGGCCGCAGAAGAGCCCACTGAAGGGTCGGGCTTTGGAGGTGGTTCATTGGGCGGGATTCGGGGCTCTTGAACTGGAGCCGGTGTGGCCGGAACGCTACCGGGAAGCTCAGCAGGAGTAGGCTCGGGCCTTTTGGAGGAGAACGGACTGTTGAAGTAACTTGCAGTCGAGAAGCTGGACGCTTGGCCAATGCCGGGGACGCTCTCCTTGGAACTCCCAAACAGATCGGTGGTGGTGCTTGCAGATTGCTGTGCTGCACTCGAGAAAGCACCAGCTGTGGCTGTTCTGGTGGCCGCAAAGGACACAGGAGCAGGCGCAGGCTCGGTGGGCCGATAGGGGTTATCAATGGGACGGGCAGACACGACAGGATCGGCCAAAAGCTTGGGCGGGGCCACCGTCACGACAGGCGTGCGGCGCTTGAGGTCCTGGGCGATTTCTCGGGCAATGTTGCTGCGAAGCCCAATACCGTCCTCGTACTTGAGCTTATCGTTGATGTGCGGCTCCCACGAGCTCTTGAACTGGGCCTTGGACGACTGCGCAAGGGAAGGAACCAAGGCCCTGCAAATGTTGTCCATAAGGGCTCGAGTAGCCTCTTCGATCTGATCGATTTCCTTTTCGCGCGTCAGTCGCTCTTCTTTGAACTTGAGTACGTCTGTCGCCGACGTCTCGCCACTGGAGACGCCCAAAGCCTTCATCCTCTGAGCCAGCAGCTGGCTCATAGCGTCAGACTGTCCGGCTGCACCCAGTAGGGCGGTGAGGTCCAAGCCCGGAACCGCAGCTGGAGCGCTCTTCTGCGAGCCCCGCTTCTGGCTGACGGCTGTCTTGTTATCGAGGATCGCTCCTTCCAACGCCCGGATATCTCTTGAGGTTGCCTGGATCTCTGACTCGATCCTGGTCGCCTCGAGCTTCAGTCGATCACGTTGGTTGTTGGAATCGAGATGGAGCCGAGGAGCCTCGCGGTTAACCAGCACTTGATTGAGATTCAGGGCCTCGACAATCAGGTCGTGGGCATCTGCGATTTCCTGGCGGTATTTTGCGATGCTCTTCTCGAGATCTTCAGCAATGACTCGCGAGGCATTGACTTGGGACTGGACGCTGTGACATTCGTCGCGTTTCTTGCGCAATTCCTCGGAAAGTTCTTTCTTCTTTGCCTCGGCGGCAGCCTTGGCATCGGCGTCGCTGTCGATCTTGGAACGGGTGGGTTGGAGCTGACTCTGGATGAGCGGGTCGCTGGTGAGGTTTGAAAACGAGCCATGGGGACTGATGCCCGTTTTGTTGATCACAACATCGTTGATAACCTGGTTCTTCATCAGCGCCGTGGCCGAGGCCAGGTCGCGAGTCGAGGGCGGAACAAGCTCGGGGGGCAAGGTGGTGGGTAGGTCGTAACCTGCGAGCTTCTTGTGGATCAAGTACATAGCGACAGCGAACTCGTCCGGGTTGAGCTTGCCGTGATTATGGGAGTCCGAGAGTTTCCTGTAATCGGACGAGACAGCAATCAGCACACGGCAGCACACGGCAGCACACAGCAGCACACAGTAACACATCCACTCAACATTCACTGCAAGTTGCTATCCTGCCCTGTACTTTAGCATATCATCGCCAACATACCATATTTGGGCCAGAATGTTCTTTGGGAGCCCGGACTGAATAAATATCTGGTAGGCACGGTCGCCTGGATGCGCCAAAAGGAAGCGGCTGTCAGATCGCTGTGCCCATGGCAAAGAGGGAGGCTTTTCGGCTGTGGTACGGTTGGCCGCAATTGATACCTGAGATATATCCGCTCGACGTTGGGTCGCTCTGCTTGAAGACAGCGTCGAACCTGGCTTTCTCGCTGGCATCAATTGCCCAGCGAACACCATCCTTGCGAGGAGCAGGAGCGACATTCAATGGTGCCTTGCTGGCGGAGCTATGAGAGGACTCTGGCGAGCCGGGGGAGAGGGAGCTGGCTGCGATGGCGATGGCAGCAGTCAGCTCGGCTTGAATATGCTCAGGCAACACCTGTGGCAGGTTGTTACCGCTGAGAGCCTGTCGAGTGAGGTGCATCGCCAAGGCAAACTCTGGGAAGCTCAGGGCGTTCCCGCCAGAAACAGCACAGAGAGACCTAAACAACGAGAGGGAGAGAGTCAGGAGAATAGTATGACAGCATCGATAGCATCGACAGCATCGACAGCGTGGCGTCTGGAGCCTACGACCCAAGCAGAACTAGAGCCCGCTGGCTCTGAGCAAGCGTGGGAACGCTCACCAGACTTGTCCAAGGACTGCGTTGTGGAGCCCGGACTTGGAGAGGACGCCGACGACAGCGTCGGCTGGTTGGGGAGGGGATGAAGATGTTAGAAACGTCGATGCTCTCGATCCACCCAATAACCGAATCCAGAATGACTTTGGCCTCGAACAACGCAGGGACAGCGCTGGTCATGGGAAGACCGGTCCCAGCTCAAGGCCAGCCTGCCTCTGTGGGCACGATGAGGGGCCAAGGACAGGAGGAGGTGGTCCAAGGCTGCCCCAACGGCAGAAGAGACTCCCTTACCTGGCATCCTTCCGGAGCCATCGGAACAGTACTGGCCGAACGTTGCCTCATATCCGACAAGATTGGCCTGATCGATAAATGAAAAGTTGACTGGATACGGAGAGGAGATCCGGGTCAGACGTCAGGATATGGGTGGGTATCCATCCAGAGAAGCAGACACGCTGGGGAGAGGATTTGCCACCAAAAGTCCAAACATATTCAAGAGGGCCCGATGACGTCGCAGCTTCGGCTGACGCAGAGAGCACATGCGTGTGGAAAAATGAAAACCGTCCCAGCATCCACTCTCTCGCCAAAATAACAGGGAAATCGCTGGATCGAAACATACTCTTGCCGGAGAGCTTGACGGACTTTTGGGATCCTGGACCGGTGCTGTGGACGGACAGAGCAGGGGTAGAAACAATGCTCTGGGAGTAGCCGCCACCGGTCAAATGGGTGGACATCAGCGATGGAGACCCAGTTCGGTGGGCGGCAAGTTGCTGCTGCTGGAAAGCCAACTGCTGCTGCTGTTGTTGCTGGAACGCGAGTTGCTGTTGCTGCTGTTGGATCTGCTGCTGTTGCTGTTGCTGTTGCTGCTGTTGCTGGAGCTGTTGCTGCTGGAGCTGTTGCTGCTGGAGCAACTGAAGCTGCTCTGCAGTCAACCCCTGCGGGTAGCCGTAGCTCTGGCCGGCTCCGTACATGGCCAAGACGTCGATGAGTGCCCAGGAAGGAGGGGGAGGCAGATGCAGGAGACGGCGAGACCCAGGCCAACGAGCACCGCCTCGGCCAAACCAGGGGCGGATCGGGCGACCACGTGACCAGGTGTTTCCAGAAGGCTGGGCGGTCGAGAAGCATCAGATTGCCGAGCAGGCAGGGTTTCCGATGTGCGGTTGCAGCCAGGCCGGGCCGGGCCAGAGCAGAGCTAGAGCCATCAGCCAGAGTGGACGAAGGGCTGAAATACTGAGCGGCCCGGCTTGGTTCCAAAAGGGCTACATCGATTGCTTTCACTCCAAGGCGGACGCCGACACTTCCCACACACAAGTACCTGGTCAGCGACTTGTACCCTCAGCCAGCACTCCAGCACAGCATCCAGGATTTCTCACACCTGGAGAGCCGCCATTCGATATCCGTCATCTGCACCTCCATTTGCGCAGACACCAAGCGGGCTTGGCCGGCGCGACCCGACGACTCTCGCCTCGCATCAGCAATTCGGCCTCGCATCAATCCGCTCTCCCCCTCCTTCAACGACAGGCCTTGCGACGACCGAGCCTGAGTCTCTAGATCGCACTGACCATGGGAAATAGCTGCACCAAGAAAAATAGGGAGATTGTTCCCATCGACGATATCCCAAAGCAGTCCAGCGGACCACCGCCTGGCAAACCGCCGCCCCTGGACACCTCTCCGCCGATTCCCGAGACAAGCTTTGTCCTCTTTCAGAAAACCGTCACAGGCTCACTGGTCCTCGCAAACGGCGCACTCGAAATCATACAGTCGCTGCCAGAACATGTCCAGGTCGAGGTTGTCTCGGTGGTTGGCAAATGCCGCACAGGCAAGTCGCTCCTGGCCAACCGACTGCTTGGCATGAACCAGGGCAATGCTTTCGCTGTCGGTGATGCAATGGATCCGGCCGCAGAGACCTCGGTCATCGGATGCTTCCGCAAGAGTCAAGATGGCGGAGCGGTATGCCTGGTGGTCGATGTCGAAGGGCTCTATGACGCCAGCCTCGACCTCATCAACTACGACATTCTTGCCCTCACCCTGATGATTTCAACGGTGGTGGTGTGGAACTGTTTCCGTGGATGTATCGACAACAAGTGCTTTCTGGAGCTCTCTTCCACCAAGCGGGCCCTTGAGGCTCAAAACATTGCGCCTCCACGGGGAACATGCAGCCGCATCTTTTGGGTGGTGAGGGACTGCCACTTGTCGCTCATCCAACCGGCCCAGTCATACGATCTCTATTTCGACCAGATGCTGTCGCTGTTGCGAGGGGCATACAATGGCGACTTTACCTTTGCCGAATTACCGGTGCCCAGCCCCGAGTCGACACGGGAATACGTGAACTCGGCAAACGACTTCAAACCACAGCACCAGCCACTCGACAGTCACTTTGAGTTCCGGCTCACTTCCGTGGCCAAAAGTATTGTTGAGGCGGCTGTGGCTCAGAGGGGATACACCAAGAAAGGTGAGCATGAGCACCGCTAGTGTAGCTTGGCTGCAACGCCGGCAGCTACATCACCACGCTGCTCCAGGCCATCCTTCAACAACATGGCAACGTTTCGGAGTAGCTCGGGACCACGGGCACATGGACACATGGACACATGGCTGTAACAGCCAATTTGACCGGGGACCGGCGACCCTCGTTGGCGATGGTGGACCTCAACGTGGGCAACGGCTTTCCCTCCATCGGCTCGAGAGCTCACCGTCGGTTCCTTGTTTTGATCGGGCAGATTTATTGCACACGCTCCAAAGCGTCGGCCCTGTCCTGAGGGAATGTGCCTATGAGTTTCACTTGCTTTACAAGTTGCATCTGGAGGATGTCACTGCCGGACTGCTGAGTGAATTCGCGACCCGAGTGGAAGAATACTTTGACAGCCAAGCACATATACGTGCCCGCCTCCTGTCGAGGCTCGATCCGCTCTACCCGTCTCCAAGCATCGACATTGACTTTGGGCCGGTGCCTGCGTATGATTCCTGTACGTCGCCGCTAAAGGTCGAGGTCCCGATGGCAGAGAACAAGCTCAAGCGGTTTCTCGATTTTGTGTACACTCAAGGCTTTGGTGGAGAAAAGGACGCCGCCGCCAACAAATTCAAGGTCTGAAACAGGCACCCCTGAATGCATCATGGGTCAGAAGAGAGGCGGTGTGTCTGGTGGTGAAGTCCGCACACGGTGGCCCTGATGGTCGCTTTCCATTTCGCCCTTGACCGTGCTTATTCAACGACCGATAACCCTGTGTTTCATTTCTCGTTTGCTGGCGATATACATTCGGCCAATGTCGGACTGCTCTTGGTTTTCCTGAACGCTCTTCAAATGACGATGCATTCGTTTTCGGGGCTCTCGCATCTGACACGGCATGAACAACAGTCGACACTATTGGTCGAGCTGGCTCTTCAAGCGAGTCGCTTCCGGGAACAAACACAAGCGGCGCTGACCGAGAAGACTACTCAGATCTATTCCGGGTTTGATCTGGTAACAAAGGCGCGGATCTCAAAGTCGATCTCGGTGGTCGACTTTGATCTCATTTTGCAAAGACTCGCGTTCATCATCGAAAGAATCTGGTCGTCGCTGGTCGAGGAGCCACAGTTCGAGCAAGTAGAGAAGCACGTTTTGGGCCAGTGCCCTATCGAAGAAGATCGCAGCCAGATTCGGTCCATCGTGGGGGACATTCTCCTCGACTACGCCATGGAAGACGCAAAGGACACCAATAGCGAATTGGGCGGCGAAGCGAGGCCAGGCAATGTCGAAGCCAGCCAAAATATCTCATCTGTGCCGAGCGACTCGATCTCCAACATCTCGTTTGCATCCATCAAGTTCAGCACTCTCGGGAGCATCCGTTTCTCGAGCAACATCCGCTCGCAAGACACGATGAGCACCCAGCCCAAATCCAGCAGCACCTCAAATGGCACACTAGCCACGCTTGCCGGCCACTCGATGCTTCCGAACCAGCCCGATAGCTTCAAGCCCGAAAAAGGCACGAGCGTACGAGGCAGCAGAAGCAACATCAGAGGAATATCTGCTGCGACCGAGCGCGACCAAGCAAGTCCGAGGGGAGCACGAGATGGCATGCCCCCCACCAAGACGGCCGAGCAAAGTACCAACCCACCGAGCTCCTTGGACAGCAAGCCGCCAAGGGAAGCTGGTGAGCGAGTTCTTCTTGACAGTGTCTCCGAGATCGACGAGCCCATTGGCTTGAGCTCCTTGAAGCAGCAGGGTCGCTCACAAAGGCCGAGCGCCGACTCGGGGCTATATCCCTCAAAGAACAAGCAACCGGCACCCGTGCGAAGAAGGAGCTCGAGCTCATCTGGCGATAACAATAGCAGAAGCGACGAAAGCATACTCATCGAGGAAAATGAAGAAACGGGCGATGAAAGCGCAGACACCGGGCAAGAAGAAGTGAGGGAGGAGCATTTGGACGAAAGTAACGACGGAAGCGGATATGAAGATGGGAGCAACGAGCATATCGACGGCGATAGCGATGGCGATGGCAATGGCGATGACGATGACTATAGCGATGATGACGATGACTATAGCAACGAGGACAATGACGACAACGACGACCACGATGATGAATATGCTCAAGTCGGAAGCGGGTCAGAGATAGAAGGCGATGAAGCTTCGTATGTGTCCGAGTGGGACGACGAATCGCAGAGCAACGACGAATCGCAGAGCAACGACGGATCGCAAGAGCAGTCCTCCTCCGAACTCGCCGATGAAGATGCGTCCGAGACGAATGGCTCGCGCCATCAAATCAAGAACAGCCAGAGTACTGCTCTGACCAAAGCCTCGAGATCCAAAGACCGAGTCGACACAGACGATCACACCGCCGCCTCGGATAAATACGACACCGACTCAGACGAAGACAGCGGCGAAGATCCCGAAAGGGCCGCGGACGAGCTCCTTTACGAGCACGACAGTGATGATGGAACCTTGGAGCACATCGCAGACAGCGGCTCGGAAGATGGCCGCCACGAGCATTCGGTGAGCGATGCCTACAGTGACGATTACGAGCTACCATGGGACGACGAGGTACTCGCTTCCGAGTCGACCGACCTGTTTGTGTCCGAAGATAGCGCTCTTCCCGAGAGCATGGAAGAATCAGTGGACAGCCTGGCAGGGTCGAAGTGATTGCGGATGAGCCGGGTCTCGCTCGAAATACAGCGGTTATGGATGATCGATGCTGTCGAAGCAACAGACCACGGTGCAGGCTGGTGACGGCAAGAGCGACGCACGCTGCTGCTGCTGCTGCTGCTGCTGCTGCTGCAAGGGCCAGGCAGCCATCGAATATCAGGGTGTCGCCGACTGATGCGAAACCGCTGTTGGCGACATGTGCGGGGGGGGGTGAATACTATGCGAGTAACCAATGGGACACACCTTCCTTCTCGTTTGGGTCTCCCATTTCAAAATGAGTTCGCAATAAGGCCGGTGGACGATACAACCCGCTGTCAATTCGATTCGCTGCTTGAGTGTCGTGAGAGCATTTCAAAGCCGCGGTCTGCCGCCACTTGCCCTGGTCGTTCGCCATTCGTCCTTGGTCGTTCGTCCTCGGTCGTTCGTCCTTGGTCGTCGTCGTTGTCGTCGTTTGTTCGTTCGTTCGTGCTTCTCTGCGTGCTTCTCTCGTTGCCCGATCTCGCCGGGCCCTCCCTTGGTCTCCTTCCTTGGCTCCTCTCGTCGTCCTCTCTTGGCCCCGTGGCCCTCCAGGCTCGTCTTCGCCGCCCCAGCCTCTCCGCTTCTTTCTCCGGTTCTGTGGAAACCTCGGCCTCATTTGAAATCCCCTTGGCCTGGTGATCTGTCGTCCCTTTCTCCCCTCCCGATTTGCCGCTCACTTGACCCCCTCCTTCGTCCGGGCTCTGTTGCTGCTGGCCCGTCTTCCGGCAGCCAGGACCGTCGTCCGCGAACCTTCAGTTCCAGTCCTGCGAAGCTCTCGCTCACGCTCTCTTTCGCTTACTTCTCCACCCAAGCGGCCAAATCCACCAAGTTGCCACTTTGCTTCTGCACCCACAAATCATCCTCATCTATCTCATCGATCCCATATAATCCCGTCTCTGTGCCTGCCTGCCTGTGCCAGCTCTTGAATGTCTTCCTCAAACTCACCCTTCTTCTGGAGATGGGGTCGGAGATCGTCGCATAACGTCGGTATTCTGCCAGCCCGATCGCCTCTGCATCGCCTCTGCATCACCAGTTCCTTGCGCACTCCTCCCCCTCAGCACCAGAGGTCATCAATCCATGGCTGAGATTCTTACCATAGCCTTGACTTCACATTTGGCAGATACAGCCAAGCGAGAGCCCTTCTTTGACCTGCCCTCCCGCCAGCGATGTGAGTCTTCCTGGCTGACAGCCCCGAGCTTTTGGCATTCCTTCGTCCCCGTCCTGCCGCTCGGCTTTCCCCGCTGCTTGTGCATTGCCGGTCGTCTCCAGCCCCCGTCACTCTTGTTCTCTCGGCGCCCGACCTTTGTGGTGTTTTCCATTTGCATTGCGCTCGCTCATGTCTTGCCTCGGTCTCGATATGACTCCCCAGGCACCGTCAGCACCCTCCCAGAACGCAGCGTCCGAACGATCCCCCGAAGTGCCATTGCAGCATCCCAACCGTCCTCTGCGTCTGGACACCTCAAGTGGTAGGCATCTGACCATACCTCGTGGTTGCAGCCTCGCAGTCGGGTGGCTGCATGATGCAGGGAATCAGACAGTCCTGGGCCTGCATCGGCCGTCGCTGCTTGGCGGAGGCATTTGTGCTCTGGAATGCACGCTCGCCTGAGCTCCTCTGCCAGCCAGTCCGTGCATTTCTTCGTGTATCATCCGCCTTGCCTGGTGCCCGTCGACACTTTCCCGTGTCTCCAATCTCGTCGCAAGTCGCTCGCTCTGCTTGCAGTCTCAGTCTGCGCGATCTATCGGAGCAATCTACGACGCATCGCACTTCGTCGGTCGCTTCTTTTGTGCTGACGACATCGCCCCTATCTGTGTCGTTTTTGATCGTCCGTCTCGATCGTCCGTCTCAATCGTCTGTCTCGATCGTCCGTCTTGATCGTCCTCTCACAGCAAGCGAGCACGGGAATCTAGCAAGCCCACCAATGCATGGATCGCCCTCAAGATCCTCAACAGGTTTGTAATTCGTTGCCCCCCCCCTCCATCTTCGTCTCGGCTCCACTTCATCTTTATTGGGTTGGCAGGGCCGATCGCCGCTGCTCTCTAATCGCTGCGTTTCCCTCTTTTGCTTTCTCTGGCCACCCTCCTTGCGCTCTTTCTTCTTTGGCTGTATTCTCAATGCCTCCTCCTCTTCACAAACATATTTGCTTGCTTCCTCGGCCGCCCCCTCTCCACAATCCCCCTCGCTCGCGCCTTTCTGCAACTCAGCCTCCACGCCATCGACTCCATCCGGGGGCCTCCTCCAGTCCGTCAGGACAATCTTCCGCCGTCTTGTCCCGCGACACCACTCTTCCGAGACCAACGAACCTCATTCCTTGCCCCACAACACAGTCGAGTCGCCTATGAGCCCAGCTTTGCCTCTTCACAAGCCCGATGCTTTGACTCACGCATCCGAGACCCCCACCTTGATCGACGCCGACTCTCTGCCCCCAAATACGCTTGCGCCGGCGTCTCGTCACGCCGCCATGGCATCATCAAGTGGCTCCCAGTCAACTTGGATCCAGCAGAGCCTGCCCACTCCTGCCAACACCACTCCTGTCCGTATTGAAACTCCCTTGTTGTCGACTCGAGTTCCTCCTACGCCCGTCGAGAGCACACCGCCAGCAACATCAAACGCAGCCTTGGAGGATCACATGGATGTCGATCCTTGCGCTGGGTCGGCTCCGGATACCACCATGATCGTCGCTTCGCCTTCCGCCAGTCCGTTTCACGAGTCTGGACCCCCACCGATCCCCATCCCCTCAGACCCGGCTGGGTCGAGCGCCTCGGAAGCGGACCCAGTGCGAGTTGCTCGGTCTTTCGAAGAAACCGAGCACGTTGTTGATGTATCTGCAACATCCTCAGATCGCCCCCTCGAAACAATTCTACCAACTCCGACAGAATCAGCCCATGTTGAGCGGCTCTCGGGATCATCTTCAGACACTGCCCGTCACTCGAACCGATACTCGCTCGTCCCACAGTCGCCTATTCGGGTGCCTTCCGAAGCTCCCTCCAGTCCTTCCGCAGCCTTGCTTCCAGCATTCACAAACCAAGTCCCACCTTCCTTTACCAATGCATCACCCACACTGTCTATGGAGCCTGTGAACGCATCCGCACCGCTGTCGGCCCCGCCTCGACTGAGCCGCGCCTCGGCGCCCTCGCCGCAACCATCCCAGCTATCCGACATGCCATTGGAGTCCCCCGTCGAGCCGGCTCCTCTTCCATACAGCTCGGTGTTTCCCTCTGGTCCCACCGACCCGCTGCTATCCGCAACCACTCTTTCGGATGCGACCCAGACAAGTGCCCAGGCACCGACCACGTCTTCTGTTGCATCAGATCGCTCATCAGGATCGCATCTGCCCCCCGGTGCGTCTCTTGGTGCCTTGCTGCGTGCTCTGATTGAAGCACAGCAGGGCCGCATCGGTGGTCATCCTGCCACCTCGGGATCCGAGCGAGCACCGACGCCATCCAGCATGAACTCATCACAGGGTCTCGAGAGCCCAGCCTCAGAAAACAGCGCCGACCCTGGAATGGGCTACGCCTTCACAATCGTCTTGGTCTCAGATCGTCCCCCAACCGCAATGAACGAGACAGATTCTCAGGAGCCGTCCGACCCGCTCCACAACCTGATGAACGCATCTCCCAGTCAGCCCCTCGATGCCACCGAAGCTGGCCCAAACGCTGGACTTCCGCCTTTGCCGTTCTTGTTCCCGTTTTTGGCCCGTCCGGCCCCCGGTAGCCCAGCTGCAGGGCCTCAAACCCAGTCCCAGTCATCGGCGCCACCAGGTGCTGCAAGACCTCCGACTCCAGCCCCGCAACCATCTGGCGGCTCGGAGGACCCTCGTTCCGAACGGCCCGAGCGACAAAACGAGTCCGACGAGGCCTCCCAGAGACGACGCAATCAACTGGCGGCAATGGCCATGATGGCTATGTTTGGCCAGTTTCTTGGTGCCATCCGCCCACCTACGCCTTTGGGTGACGAGAACGGTGCAGTGGATGGCTACGAGGCGTTGCTGAGGCTTGGGGAGCTGATCGGGCCCGCCCGTGCCCGTAACGCCCAGCGTGAAGATGTTGATGAGCAGCTTACTGTTTTCAAGTACCGCAAGAATCCCGTGGGGGGAGACAAGACCGCTATCGACGCTGTGAGCCCGATCGAGATCACCGCGAACGCCATGCAACTGGACTCGTCCGTCGTCGTCTCGGAATCGGCCGAAATCAAAGGCGTGGAGCGAGATGGCAGTAGCGCCGGCAGCAGCACTGGAACCAAGCCCGAGCCCAGTGCCACAGATTTGCTCGCTTCGACCCTGGACAAGTGCACGATTTGTCTGTGTCCTTACGAGGAAGGTGACGAGCTCCGTGTGATGAAGTGCAAGCACGGCTTCCACAAGGTATGTTTTGGAGGACTATGTGCTGGTCGCGTGCCACCTCGGACCCGTCGAGCTAACTCAAAGTCGGATTTGCCTTGCAGGACTGTATCGACCACTGGCTGACGTCGTATGTCAACAGCTGTCCGATCTGTCGCAGTGCTGGTGTCGAGCCACGCCCCCATCAAGACCCCCAGGATGCCTCCGATTCCAATAGGAGGCCGCCACACCCCTCTGCCTCGACCGGACCTCATATGCACGACGATCGCCCGGGTGCAGCGGCTGGCCAAGGCGAGCCTGGCGGTGCCGCTCGCCCGATCCGTCCAACGCTGGTGGCCATCATACGAACCCGCCCACCCTTTCCCATGCCGCCGCCTTCACAATCCTCAAACGCAGGGCCGACTCGGTCGGGCGCCTCTACAAACGACTCTGGGGCGACAGGCGGTGCCCGTCAGGACGGCGACAACGACGAGCGTCCGGCATTTTCTCTGCTTGATCTGCTGCGACCGCGACCGCCACCGTCACCGTCAACGTCACGAACTCCAGATGGCGCTGCCCAACAAAGCTCGTCGGCTCGCCTCGGCTCGTGGAGGGCAAACCCATCCAGCGACGGCGCCGACAACCAGTCTGCCCCTCCACAGAGCCGCCGACGCTCCAACTCGATCGGTGCACTCTTGAACCGGGGCACCCCATCCGACTCAAGGCCGCTGTCGTCGCTCTTTCCCTTGCCTCCTTTCGGCGCCTATGGCGGCCCACCAGCGACCAGCGCAGCTCCAGCTTCTCGACCTCGTCTCCCGTCCGATGGGGACTCGCCCAACATTTCCCAGGCGCTTGGCGAGCTGCTTGACCAGCATCTCGAGGAAGCCATGGGCCTGGCTCGCAGCCGTCTCCGCTCGTCTGCTTCTCGAAGCCAAGCTAACTCAGAAACTGGACCGTCCTCCCAGCGACCAGAGTCTCGAGGATCGACCAGCGAAAGCGAATCGGACAGACGCTCATACCGAAGACACCCTGCCCGATACGATCGAGAGTACACCTTTGACAGCGATGAGGAGGACTGGTTTGGGCTTCACGGAGGCACTGATATCCTGCTAGGACCTTCCCAGGGCTTCGCCTTCTCTGGTCATGAGCAGCCGCAACCGCAGCCCGCCAACGACGACAATGACGCCCAGCTGCCCGCGGACAGCCGCAGACTCGATAACGTAGATCTCGGGTCATCAAATCCCGATTTTGCTCGGTCAGCCTCGAACTCGGTCTTGATTCGGCGCCGTGGTGATGATGATGAGGATGGCGACAACGACCAGGATGGCACTGACTGTAACGTCCACTACTGGGACGTTGGGGCAAGACGGGGAGGGAGGGGGTACAAGACAAGACAGGACGGGGCAGAACAGGGCGGTGCTAGGCTACTCTAGCGGACGGGTGAGCTCGGGGAGCACTTACGTTTATTCACGATAAAACCGAACTCCAGACAAACGGGGGGAACGGGGGCAACCCGCAGGTATACCCTGCGGTGGCCTGCCTGCGGTGCGTGAAAACGCAAAGCGCAGCACAGGTCACGACCCACTGCGCCGCGCAGTACGCGCAGTACGCGCAGCACAGCGTCGGAGATACCATCTCCTACACTCCCACACTTAAGAAGGCTTCCTGCGAGGAGCCCTGCGTGTGCTCTTTATTTGGGGCTCCTCGAGGTGTTTACCGTATTTACTCAGCTCCTCGGGTGCATGGGACAAGTCCTCCAGTGTTTGCCATGTGTTGCCCGAGTGTGGGTAACCAACCCACTTGACATAAAACCGAAGTGACCCATCAGCCACTTTCTTGTGCCTCACGATCCTTTCGACTTCATATTCTTGAGTATAGTATTGTCCGAGGTCGTCTTCCAGTGGTGCGTCGTCCGGGACACCTTCGTCGGCGTCGGGGAACTGTGCTGGACTGCGGGTCGTGTGGCGACGCAGCTTGGACACATGGAAGACAGGATGGAGCTTGCTTCCAGGTGGCAAGTCCAACAGGTAGTTGAGGGGACTGGGTCGGGCCGCTATCTTGAACGGTCCTCGGTACTTGGGCAACAACTTCTTTGACTGGGCTTCGGGGACCTTGATGTTGTCGGCGTCCAGGTAGACAAGGTCTCCAACTTCAAAGGAGACATCCTGGTGTTAGGGATAGCTCCTGCTTGTTCTCCACTTTGACTGCACACTTGGCTATTCTTTTGCCTTTCTGTTTGTTTGTGTGTAGCCTTGCAGTTCCCCTCCGATTTTCCGCCTTTTGCCTGTCTTTTCCGCTCCTTCCGCACTTCCGTTTTCCCGCGCTGCTCCGCTTCCTTTGTCTTCTTCGCACGCGCCGGTTTGTTTGTGCACGCGCCTTGCTGCGATTGGTTGCAATTCGGCTGCCGGTCATGTGTCCCCCCACCGGTGACTCATGACCTGCCTGACCGCCCCGATCTCTTGTTCATCTCGCATGCATTTGCCCCAACCTTATACTTGACCAATCCGCTTCTTGGACGTTGAGTCACATTGCTTCGCCTTTGCACGTTTCTCCTGCCAGGTGCTTCGCTTTTGCTTGCGCCTCTCTCGCTTTGGTTCTCTGCCTGTCTCGGTGGTCCTTCTCGGCCCTCGTTCGTGCATCGCCCCCTTCGCCCTGCTCGATCGCCCACTTTTCCCTCCCTTGGCCGCCCTTCGCTGCCAAGTCCGGACTTGTCTATAAATAGCCTGACCCCCGCGATGTGTAGTCGAACCTTAGCGTTCAAAATAGGACTAAATAAAGTGCCTTCTACTTTATTCTCTGAGTGTTCCTCACGTCTCATTTCGAGACAAGTCTTATCTTGAACGGATCTTTGCTTCCCTCGCTCCCTCTCCGAGTCCACTTCGGACTCTACCCTTGCTTTCCCTGAGCTCACTTCGAGCTCACTTCTTCTTTTGCCGTTGAGTCCCCTTTGGACTCTAACATCATTTTGAACGCTCCCTCTTGGCTTCCCGGCCTTTCTTCTTCTTTCGCCTCTCTTTCCCTCGTCGATCCGATGGCTGAGCCTGCTGCACCCCCGGCAGATCTCAATGCGTACCTGGCGCGCATGGAGGAGCGTATGAACGCCCTCATGACCCAGAACGCTGCTCTCCATCGTCAGATCCAAGATCTGCAAGCTCCCGCCGCCGCTCCCCGCCAGGTCTACCAGGTGAACAAGCCCAAGGAGTTCCTAGGTTCCCGCGACGAGACGACGGCCTTCCTCGCCCAGTGCCACCTCGTCTTCCTCGCCGATCCTGCCTTCTTTGCGCCCGAGCGCCAGAAGGTCCTTTATGCCACCTCCTTCCTCCGCGGCGAAGCTTTCAAATGGTACGAGGCCGCCTTTTATATGGCCAACCGCTTCCCGGCTTCCTTCGCGGATTTTGAAGTTGCCCTCAAGTCGACCTTCGGTGAGGACACGGCCTCCTCGCAAGATAAGGCCTTGAACGACCTCAAACGCTTGGTCCAGCTCAAGTCCTGCCAAGCCTTCGCCACCCGCTTCGTCCAGCTCGCCGCCCGCGTCCAGACTGACGAACCCACCAAGATGCACTTCTTCAAGGAGGGTTTGAAGTCTGAGGTCAAGTTCCACCTCATCGGTCTCCGCCCCGCTCCCGCTTCCTTGCCCGAGTTGATCAAGGCAGCGGTCGAGTACGACGATGCCCTCCATCGTCTCAAGGTCTCCTCCCGTTCCCAACCTCCTCCTCCTTCTTCTCGCTCTGCTCCCCATCACCACCATTCTCCCGCGCATGTTTCTTCTTCCTCCTCTTCTGCACCCACTCCCATGGACCTTGACTCTGTCTCGGTCCGCCCTGCTAAGCTCTCCGACGTCGAGAAAAAGCGACGTCGTGAGCAGGGTCTCTGCTTGTACTGCGGGGAAAAGTCTTGTCCCGGCAGTCGCGATGTTCAGCAGTGCCCGGTTCTGGTCAAACGGAACTCGGGAAATGCTCACAGCCGAGCAGCACCTCGCAAGTAAGCGAGGTGGTCTGTTCGGCGATACGAACATCTTCCCCCTCTGACTCGTCACTATCGGACGATAAGCTTCTTCTTCCGGCCACTCTTATCGTCATGAGTCTTTCTGGCCCGGTCTCCATCTCCCTTTCTGTTTTTATTGATGATGGATGTTCCGCTCTTGCCCTCATTGATCCTGCCTTTGCCGATCTCCATAAACTCTCTCTTATCCCTCTTTCTACTCCTTACTCCGTTTCCCTTGCTGATGGTTCTTCGGCCGGTTTCATTCGTTTCCAAACCGCGCCTTTGACTCTGACCATTGGTTCCCACACCGAGTCGATTTCTTTTCTTGTGACTCGACTCTCCACCACTCCCATCACTCTTGGTCTTCCCTGGATGCGCTTGCATAATCCAGTTGTTAATTGGAAGTCCCTCTCCCTTTCATTCTCCGATCCCTCTTGCCTTGCTGATGGACACATCCTCGCGGATGTCTCTGCTTCTTCCTTGGACACTCCGTCCGCTTCCGGCTCCTCGCCTCCCCCTTCGGGCACTTCGCCTTTGACTCCTCCTCCCTCCGGTCCTTCCCTTACACCGGTTCCCTCCTTTGGCACTTCGCCTTCCCTTTCTTCCCGCCTTGACTCTGCTTCGCTTTCTGAAGAGCCAACGGCTTTATCTTCACCCGACATTGAGCTCGTTAATGCGGCGAGTCTTCTCCGTCTTGCACGGGAAGACAAGCTCGACATTTTCGCTGCCCAAATGGATATCCGTCCTCCTTCGCCGGAGACGTATCCTACGGTGTCGATAAGGTCCGTGCTCACGACGAAGGTGTATGCCGAGTCTGGCACCCCTGTTGACTCTCGAGGCGTCCCACTCAAATACAATGAGTTTGGCGACGTTTTCAGCCTCAAGTCTGACCCTCCTTCTTCCTTGCCTCCTCATCGTCCGTATGACTTGTCCATTGAGTTTGTACGGACCGAGGATGGAAAGGAACCTCGTTTGCCAAAGCCGGGGAAAGTCTATCCTTTGTCCCCGGCCGAGGAATCTGCTCTTTCGGAGTATCTGACCAACGCCCTCGCACGTGGTTGGATCTCCAAATCCTCTTCTCCCGTTGGTGCTCCCTGCTTCTTCGTGAAGAAGCCCAATGGTGGTCTTCGCCTTTGCGTCGACTACCGAGGCCTCAATGCCATCACGAAGAAGAACCGTTACCCACTTCCCCTCTTCCAGGATCTTCTGGATAAACTTTCTTCTGCCCGCGTCTTCTCACACCTCGACCTTCCTGATGCTTACCACTTGGTTCGTGTCAAGAAGGGCGATGAGTAGAAGACTGCTTTTGTTTGCAAATCTGGCTCATTTGAGTACAATGTTATCCCCTTTGGTCTTTCGAATGCCCCCGCTGCTTTTCAGTTTTTTATGAACGACATCTTCTCGGACCTCCTTGGTGTCTGTGTTGTCATTTATCTTGACGACATCCTGATCTTCTCAAAAGATCCCCAGGAGCATGAGGAGCATGTTAAGCTTGTTCTCTCTCGCCTTCGTGAACACTCCCTTAAGGTCAATCCGGCCAAGTGTTCTTTTGACCTTTCTGAAGTTGACTTTCTCGGCATGATCATTTCTGCCGATGGCATCAAAATGGACCCTGCCAAGGTCGAGGCCGTTTCCCTTTGGCCTGTTCCCTCTTCTGCTCGCGATATCCAAGTCTTTATTGGTTTCGCAAACTTTTACCGCCGCTTCGTCAAGGACTTTTCCGCACTTGCTCGTCCTTTGACTTCCCTCACTACCAAATCCTCCACCTTCTCTTGGTCTCCCGAGGCCCAAGAGGCTTTTGATTCTCTTAAACTTTCCTTCACTTCCGCACCTATTCTTCGATACTTTGATTTCTCTAAACCCGCTGTCATCGAGCCCGATGCTTCTGACTTTGCTTTGGGTGCCGTCCTTTCTCAGTTTGACCCTGACGGCGCTCTTCACCCCGTTGCTTTTCACTCTCGGCAATTCCGTCCCGCCGAGGTGAATTATGACACTCACGACAAAGAGCTCCTCGCCATTGTCGATTCCTTTACCGCCTGGCGTCATTACTTGATGGCTGCCGACCCTGATATTCCCACTCTTGTTTTCTCTGATCATCAGAACCTTACCCGGTTCACTGCCGCTTCTCAACTTTCTCGCCGCCAGTTCCGGTGGGCCCAATTCCTTTCTGACTTTGCTTTTCGCATTTACCACCGCCCTGGTCGTCTCAACACCAAAGCCGATGCTCTCAGTCGCCGTTCTGACTTTGTGTTAGAGTCCAAAGGGGACTCAACGGCAAAAGAAGAAGTGAGCTCGAAGTGAGCTCAGGGAAGGCAAGGGTAAAGTCCGAAGTGGACTCGGAGAGGGAGCGA